ATCAATAATTACCATATCAAATATTATCATATTCATATTCATAACTAATGAAGTTTCTGGGCATATTTACTCATATGATCCTTAAGACAAGAGATCATCAGTCAAATATCACAAAATGCTTAATGAATCAATAATTGTTCCATCAAAGTCACAAAAGCGTCTATTCTCATCGATGCGTCACAACCAGTTCCCCTTTCCCACGTTGACTTGACCTGGTAATTTATTGGCCCTTGTACACCGCCTTAGCTACAACTACCTTTGACCGCAGGTGCTCCTTAAGAAATGAGGGTTGTCAATATTTCAAACTGCATTTTATTTAATAATTACCTATAAAACTTTGACACTATGTATTCTGTCGTATATGACGTTGTATACGACATAATATTGGTAAACTTAAAGGAACCACAACGACTTACTCAGAAAAAGAACAGATCCTTAGAAAAGCAATTAATTGTAATAAGTAATATAATTTAAGAGAAAAGTAAAAATAATAATAAACGCATTACTATTGCAACTATTCCTCTATTTCTTCAATTTGTTAATTTTTTTTTAATAATTACTAAATGCCATCAGGGCAAGAGCTAAAATTTTTATGAGTTTGATATTTTAAGGCGAGTATGCAAAGCAAGTATTAAAAATATCGTTCAACAAGGGATGAAATTCAAATTCACAATTTCAAAAATCATATATACTGAAAATTAAAACACTGTGAGTGACTACAAATTTCCCAAACAAGGACACTATTTTTATTTACAATTTATTTAAAACGAGCAGCTTCATATTGTTTGAAAGACTTAAATTCTGTTTTAGTAAAAAGATTTCATACATTCAAAATTTGGCTTATCTTTTATTTAAACCGAGCTGCATTTTAATGATTTCTCATATCTACGCGAACACTACACATTTAAATAAAACTAATTTTACGGAAACGTCGGGAATGTAAAATAAGTTAATATACGCGATAAAATCCGTAAAATTTGTTTTATTTAAACGAGCTGCATTTTACTTAAAATGGGCTGATTAATAAGATAAAGTAATTAATAGTATTATCGTCATAAGTTGGCAACAATTTTTTATTCGCCCGTTCATAATATCCCTTTTTATAAATCTTTCCGCCTATTTTTTGGTCATATAATATTTCTATATAATAAATTCTTCATCTCTCAATAATAATTAACGTTAAAAATCTTGCTGTATTTGTATATCAAAAATATTTTATTTATTCTTATTGAGTCAACCCTGTGCGCACTGACCGTGCAATGTTGTGTGATTTTCTTAAGTCGCGGACACATGAGGTCATAGTTAAGTAAGTAAAAACTTGAAGGGGCGTTATGGGAAGTGAGCACGGTAACATCACCGTATAATGTTCATAAAGCTTTACCGACCCGTAATATAGCGCTTTAGAATATATTATCATCATTTACTGTGTCCGTAATTACATGAGTACAAACGCTATTAAAAAAAATGCGGATTTTGGAGCGATTGTTTTCCAGACTTGATTTTTGCGAGCTACCAATGTAATTAATTTTAGTTATTGGAACAAACTCTATTGTATTACCTTTTATTTAATTAGACCTCTTACTTGAGAGATACATATTGTTTTTATTTTTCTTACAGTATAAGGGTGATTAAACAGGCACACAGTCCACTAGGTGGTAAGTAGATGCTGTGGCCCATAGACAACCATATTTATACTCGATTAGGAATCAAAATGTATCTGCATATTGATTAATAATCGTTGCCACCCTGGAGGACTAAAATGGAAAGCCTCGTTTCCAGTAGAAAGGGTCTCCAGTTCTCTACACTCATCATACGAAACACAGCAGCATTGAGCTATTTTTGCTGGTATTCTGTAAGAGCGTAATCCTTCCACGGTCGAGCCAACCCGTTCGTGCTACAACCATAGTATAAATACTATTATATCTTAACTAAACCATAATATGATGTCTTGAGTGAATTTCCTGCCGACTTCCAAAAAGGATACGGTACTCAATTCGACTATACGTTTTTTTTATGTGTGTTACCTCATAACTTTTTACTGGCTGAACCGATTTCGATTACTCTTTTTTTATTTGAAAGCTGGTACTTCTCGTGTGGGCCCATATGAATTTGATCAAGGTCAGGCCAATAGTTTTTGAGTTATTCTTAATAATTTATATTGAAGTCGGAATTTTTTTAATTTTTAATTATGTAAGTTCATATTAGGAATCTATTTAGCATTGCGTATGGCATGAAAGTAATACTTACGTTATCTCTTTTGAAAATTTGATTAAAACATAGAGGGCTTATTTTGTTCATTGTGTAAGATCCGGATGGATGTTGAAGATAATTTTGATACATAATATTTCTTTTACGGACGCTGAAGGTATAGTAGGGCTGCAACACGAATTAATCGGCTCAACCAGTGTTGCATCACGCTCTCAGAGTACCAGCATGAAACAGCAGCTGTCCTACTGCTGTCTTTTAGATCCTGTTTACTGGTAGTGAGGCATTCAATTTTAGTCCTTAGGGGTGAAAACGAATCTGATTTTGATTTTTAATCGAGGAAAGATGTAGATATCTCAGGACAACTTCGTCAATAATTCACCATTAGGTGGACCGTGTGCATCCTTGTTATCCTTATCCTATAAAAAACTATAAATCACTGATAGTCGTAGTTTTGCAATTGGTTAAATTTTGATGTAGGTTACATAAAGTTACCGTTTGCAAATTATATTGGATTTAATTACTTGACGTGCAACTATAGTAATTATAATCAGTATAGTAATATCAAGTGTTTTACAGCGATATTCGTTGCATAAGATATGAACAAAAACCATACACATGGATGGAATGTCCAAGCAGAATTGCGTTTTGTCACGAAAGAATCTGTACGAGTAATTAAATTATGTTCAGGTAAAAAAACGTAATTATAAGCAACTTCGCAGTATCATAATGTGATGCAAAAGGATACGCTATAGGAGCATGTGAATTATCATTAGAAAAACTGTAATGGCACCGTCTATTGTCTTATCAAGGATAACTCGTTTTTATAGGGTTTCGCAAACCGATTGTGTGGAAGAATATGTTTCCGTGATTGAGAAAAATGCTATTAACAATAGAGTATGATTTAAAACAATAAAACGAGAAATTAGAATATCATAAAATCACTACTAATTGAATACCTTAATATCTTAATTGGAAACAATGACTATGATATACAACACATTAAAAATAAATTATTGCCAATATGTATGCACGTGAACTATAAAGTGATTTACAAATTGCTCTAAAGTCCATACAACCTACGACCCGAACTTCCCACGACCATGCTCCAAGAACCACGACTTTCTGCACTGATGCACATGAATATTACCTCAACAGAAACAGAAATCTGCTAATAGAGTACGAATTTATTCCTATACTACGAGTACATATATCCACATTTTACTCGGATGAATTGACATCTTCTATACAAATAAATAAAATTAGTGTCTGTTTTTAATGTCAAAATTACAGCTTTTTACTAAATGCATATGAAAGTATATACGGTACTTATAACAAAACACAATTTAAAAAAATGATCTGTCTATCTGTTTGTTTGTTCCGCCTGATCCCCGAAATGACTGAACAAATTTTTACGGGACTTTCATTAGCAGATAGCTGATGTTATAAGGAGTAACTTAGGCTACTTTTATTTTAGAAAAAATTATTAGGGTTCCGCGCATAAAAAATTAGACCTAAAATTACGCGCGGGCGAAGTCGCGGGGAACATCTTGTTTTTAATAATAATTAGACGTCACGCAAAAACGCACAAACGCAAAAAGGATCTAACCCACAAAAGGTTACATTTAAAATATTGACATTGTAAATAATTTTAAACATTTTGATGATAAATTTAAGTAAAACGATATTTTTATATTGTTTTGCATATAAGATTTAAGCTTTAATTAAAAAGAAAAGTAAAAAAACGGAATTTTTAGAAAGACTAGCTATTATAAAATATCGTGATAAAATGTTGTTTTATATATTATATTTATCATAATGAATGAATCAGGCAACGAAACATCTTTCTCAATGCGACTCAGCAACCAGTGACTTACTGATTCGGTAAACTTTGTCTTCTTACATTACATTTCTTGCGATGCATAATAATATATAGTTTTAAAACCGTGTACTCGCCGACAAACTGATTAAATTGCAGTTTGGTGAGAGAATAGTAAAAATAATGTAGTTAACTTTGTATGAATAAATAAATTGAAAAAAAATATTTCAATTTGCATTACAATACAGTGGCAAACGAGCCAACAGTCTACCTGATAGTAAATGGTTACTGTAACCCATGGACATCTGCATTCGACTTCAAGCACAGAAATCCACAAGGGAATTGTTGTAAAAGGTAAAATAAAATTCCTTATCTGTGATTATACTGGCACACCTTCAAACCGAAACACAGCAATAAGTGCATTGCTATGTTATAATTCGGTAAGAAGGAATCTACATCTACCTTCTTAGAATCTACTTTTCTAGAAGGAATCTTAATTCTAATCCGCCACACAGTATTATACAATTCGTCGCTAAAGTCGCAAAAAGCGAACCTCAATTTTTCAAAAAATTACAGGATAGCAAGAAAACATTTAATATTCCCCGATTACTAGCTTTTTTTTTCATTAGAAAATAAATCTTATTTGTAGTTTTCCATTAATTCTAATATATTTAATTTTCTATTAAGTCTAATATATTATATTAAATTTAAAACTGAAACAAAATCAGCATCTTTCTCACAGCAGCTCCAAATAAAATAAAAACTCTGTTTGTCAACCCGTCTGCCGAGCAAGGGCAATGTCCAGCAGTGGATTTTTTATAGTCTGTAATTAATTAATGAGTTAGACGTTGCTAAAAATTTTTTTCCTTATAGTAAATTCAAAATTAATATCTGGCCTGTGTTAAAGAAAATTGAACCTTTACTTGATTATTTTAAAACTATAGATCCTAAACAGAAATTTATGCGATTTCCGTACCTTTATATGCGTCATCCGATGGTAGTACAGATTCGAACTAGCCGTAAATCTCTTGCCACAGTGTTGACATTGATGCGGCTTTTCTCCAGAATGTATCCGCCTGTGAGTGTTTAGACTACTTGAAGTGCTAAAACCTTTGTTGCATACCATGCAGACATGTGGTTTTTCACCTAGAAGAAAATATATATTTCATAAAAACAGCATTATTTTTTTAAAGTTTTCACAATTTTTATTGTATACAAAATGTATAACTTAGGAAATTTACATACCTGTATGAGTACGCATATGCCTCTTTAAAAGTGATGGTCGATCAAATGCTTTTCCACAAACTTCGCAAGGTAACAAAGCTCTTTCTGATTTCGCTGGTCTTCTTTGAATTTTTGGGGTCAATTCTAAAAGCTCACTAGATGATCCAGCTGATGAAGACGTTAAGGAGTCACCGGATACTGATTTATGCTCATCTTCCGCTCCTGATGGTGGAGATATTGGTAAAAGTACTCGAGACAGAAGTGAAGTGGATAAGTCTAGTGGAGAATCTGTAAAAGAAGAACATAAATAAATGCTTCTGATCACAGATAGCGTGGAAGATTTTTCTTCTGTGAGTAAGGCTCTTATTAAGGTATTAAGTTCTATAAAAGATTTACCAGTTTTTTTTTCGTCTAAGAGCTAGTCAAGTTAAAAAAGTAAAGTTCAGTTTAATTTCAAGACCAACTGAAAGGTTACACACTATTAAAAACTACAATATTAAAAAACTACAATAAAGAAAAAATAAAACTAGAAAAAATGTTTTATTGTGTTACAATTCTTTATACCCAAACTTCTAAATCTCTTTCAGCCATAAGTTCGACTTCTACATATATACTGTCTTTAAATATGCTTTTCTATTTTCTATTCTATATAGATATCTTTCTATATAGTAATGTATATAAAGTTCTATTATAACTTTAATTGGAGTAATGCTAATACATCCTATAGGTAGGGAACCTACATTTGTGAGTCAGTACATGAATCTCTATAATTAATATGAAACTATAAACATCAAAAGCTTAATCTAATTATAGAAAAGATTAGTGAAGGAATTTATTGATTAGTATTGTGTAATTATGGAAGTACGGCGAATGAAAATTGTTGAGATCAATTTCTTCAAATTATTTCATATTCTTCTTTTTAGTGTTTTCAAAAGGTAATATATCATTCTAAATTTTACTTTTTAAAATGTTTGTATATATTTGATGCAACTATTCGCATAATAGATCCAATAAATCATTTTAATCAATTTCAACACATTTTTGCACTAGATCAAAGGAAAGGTGTGTTCATTATCAGTGGCGAGTACAGACGTGTTCCATGATTGGTGGATAGAGAACTGAATATGGAGCGACGCGAAGAGCGATGGTATCTATTGCGGGCCGACAGTCGCTTCACTTTACGCACTCTATTTATTTTGATTGCTAACTTTATCGATTCTGTATTTATTTATTATAGTACATACTCTAACGCGATTAGACATTACCTATTTCGTCTTGAGTTTACGCTGATTTACTAATAGAAGATAATATCTTGCTATCTGCACTTTTGACAACTGTTTCTTATGATTGTAAGCTGTTATTTTTTTTAAAGTCCCGCTGACTTTTCCCGGGACAGAGGTTTTTTTCAATAAGTATAATTTATAATCTATATTGAATAAAAAAGTTTCTGTTCCTATTTCTCTTAGTAATAAATGTACCTGATTACTAAATCGGTCAGCCATGTCTTGCTGTGAAAGGTATAAAATATACGAACTGGTGACGGGTAGTAGTGTCAAATGTGAGAGATATGTGAAGAAGAAGACCTAATCGTTAGTACACGTATGGGTCTGGATTTCAATTTCTTTTTTCTATTTAATATATGTAATGTACTGTTTTTTTTTTATTACATTCAGTATGATGACTGTGAGTTGAATATTGCTTTCGGTCTTCGAGCCTACGCATAGATAAACTTAAGTGTAGGTATTTTATTTATTAATGGACAGAACTAGCACAGTATAAATATAACTGTGGAACTAGTGTGGCAAGCTAAAAGTTTCGGGTAAAAGTTTGTATTGTAAAGTCCGAATAATAATTATGAAATGACTATTAGGTATCAGCGGCAGTAGTTTAAGATGCGGCTGGAATAGCCCTTGAGTCACCACAAAGCTCCCGAAATGTTGTATTACCTATATATTATTTACCTACGTATTTACACACACACACACACACACACACACACACACACACACACACACACACACACACACACACACACACACACACACACACACACACACACACACACACACACACACAAATTCATTCCAACCTATCAAATTTCATTCTAAACATTGATTGCCTCATAAGGCGGATATTTGCCATAGTTGCCACACTTGGCTGGCGGCTTGGGAACAGCAGTTTATTTTGTTTTCTCCATGTTATGAGGAACACGCTGCTGCCCATATTTTAGTTTGTTTAACTCTGTCTCTTTGTTTGTGTACGACACCTACGGGACGATATAGGGTAATGGATATTATTACATATACAAACATACATTTATACCGCCAATCTACTAACCCGAAGAGATTAAGCATTACTTCAAGGGATACATGGCTATACGAACTCAACTGTTAGTATAAAATTGACTGCTTACTCGATAACTCACGTCCAACATAACATACAGATAATGGTCTGAGAAAACACAATATAATATATACGTTTATACAGCCACAGAGTTTCCGTCGACAGCTGCATTCGAATCGATATGGTCTCCGATCGAATCTGCCTTTATAGTGGCAAACGTTGCCGCTTGTGTTATCTTCTTGCGTATACTTTGGTATTTAACTTCAATGGCGAGTTAAGGTCTGAGTATAATAATATTTTATTATTCGTTATGGTAATGTTTTTATTTGACATATTGACATATTGAAATAGGCGAACAGATGTATGTATTTCTGCAATCAATTATTTTTATGTTTGTACTACCGTTACAACCTATTAAAGTCGTCTGCTGAATATAGGCCTCCCCATAGATTGCCTCATAGGGGGGATATTTGCCATAGTTACCACGCTTAGTAAGCGGATTGGCAAACGCAGTTTTTTATTTTTATTCGTTATCGGGAAGACGCTGACGCAGCCCATCTCCTGATTTGTTTCCCTTTGTCACCTCTTAAGACACCCTCGGTATGATTTGATTTAGTTAATATTCTTACACCGGAACTACACTGTACATTTTTAAGTTAAAAAGGTTTAATAAAAAAAAACTTTCTAAAATAAAAAATAAAAATATTCAATGATTCAAATTGTGGCATAATTTGATTATTTTTAACATTCACTAGACGTGATTTTAACAGCATATCTCTATTTATAAGACAACTTAATTACTTCGGTATGTACATCTAAAGCAAAGACAAATTACACATGTTTCCGGATATTATTTATTCTTAAACGCTACTGCATCAGCTGATGTCCAAAATAAAAATCGTTTTCCATTAAATTGATAACACGCGATAAATCACATAGTGACAACGCTATTTAGCCGTACGGTGACCGCTACCTTAGCACGATAAAAAAGCAATCACAAAACGAGCGACTACCGAAACGAGACGCCAGCGAGAGTCGGAATGTTCTTTGATGTGGCCGCTTACTATGGCACAAGTGTTTACAGTAAAACTAAATTAAGTAGTACAAATTATATAAACGCACTACTCCGGATGAATTAACGTGGCGACTAATTTAGTATATACGTTTGTGATTTCTCTTGAGGCAGTTAATTTTTTCGCCTACAAATTAAGTCTTACAGTTTTAATTTGTTTATCACTTTTTACTATTTACCACTCAATTAACTATGCTTAGTTTCGACTGCATATTGTTTTCTGATTCATTGCTTAGAAGACATATAAAAGATATTTACTAACTATTACGAGCAAGTATAAGCCAGTGCTTAAATGCTATTCCACCGGATGGTAAGTGGTAAAGCGATGGTAAGATATCCAGCGGGGACCCATAGTGACGATGTCAAAGAAAGAAAAGATTAATAATTAATTACAATCGTTACGAATACTAACACAATATTTGACTATTGTGTGTGCCTAATACAATTATATACACTTTATTCAATTTTTATTAGCTACTAAAGTTTATTGGTACTTTTGTGTCCGTAGTAATAGACTAAAAAATGAAGTAGGGGGCGCTGTTTAAAGTTCCGAAATCACTAGTGCGAAGCCGGGGTGTATCGCTAATGTACGTATACTTATTCAATTATACTTGTTTATATGTGTTTAAGATTTAGCTATTTCAATCTACTTTCACCAAACCATCAACACACGTTCGTGTAATTTGATGTATAGATATGAACGTATATAGTAGTCATTACGTTCTTTTTCTATAGATTGTACGAGGTGTAATAAATAGCCTAACATCTCGTGTAGATTATTTTGATTATATATATTCAACTATTATTAGAAGATGGTATTTTTTTAATTACTTCTCCTTATGTGAATAGGAGATTGCAATTCATATTTCGAAGGAAGAACATCTAAAGTTATCTATATATATTGTGTACTTTCCATGATCTATTTATCATGGAAAGTACACAATTGTGATACTTTCTTTCTACGTTTTAAAGTAATTATTTGTTGAAAATTAAATTAAATTAATTAAAGTAATCACATTTTACTTAGCGTCCTTGAACACACTGTGAACCGCGGTGTTCAAGGACGAAATATGAATTGCAATCTCCTTTTCACACAAGTAGAAGTAATTAAAACGACGTTTGTTGTGTTTCTATGCTGTATGGCTAGACTTTGAGCGAGAAAATAACCAGCCCCTTATCACGTACGGATATACATAATAAGTCGTTAATATATCCTTAACCCTATTAAATTTTAAAATTTCATTTAATTTTATTTCATTAAATATAGGTACAGTTTAAGTTAGTGGTTGTTTTTTAATTTTAATTTACTCACCTTCTAATATAGAGTCCATGGTTTGTCTATACAAGTTATTCCTCATCCTGACGAAGAATAATTCCTCTGGTCTCTCAGGAAGGTAATAAACTATTAGTTCCGTATGAGCTGACACTGGCTTCACCGCTTCGTATACTGGCTCACCCTTAATTTTTGTGCAGACTAAATTTACCTAAAAATTATTAGCTATTAGCATTTTTCGAAAGCTGAAGGTAACTCAAGTTAACTATCACATTAGGCAGTCAAACACCTCAGCAAACCCGTGGCTGGCTGAGGTGTTTGACGCCTGTGGCGTATTGAGTGGATATAAAGCACTCGAATCGTCGGAAATGAAAATAAGTCAAATTAAACGTGATAAAGTTCGGAAAATTTACTTTTAATCTAGGTTTATTATTTGTGTAAATATAAGAAATCATTATCATCTGTTTTATAACTACGTTATGTTTTAAATCACAAGTAACACTTTTTTAACATAATTTTTTAATATTAATTTTAACAGACTTCAAAAAAGAAGAGGTTCTCTTCCTTTAATTCGACAGTGCGCTTTTTAAATGCACTAAACAAAATAATTTCAAGAGTAGTTAAATATAAATATCTATCAGAAGCGATATTTGAAGTAAGTATTTTTGTTAAATAACCGAATATAAAGAACTAGATAAACAACAAAAAAAACTGAACATCACACACATCACACCTCATAACCGAGATTCTTAAGCGTCTATAAAAAGCCGTATGTATCCCTGGTCTTTTAACTATATTTTCTGATAGTATGATTGGTATAAAACAATATTTGTTATAGTACTTACTTGTGGCCCATAGTTCTCAGACACACGAAGAAATCTAATCCAATTGCAATGCCGCACCTGCACCCCTCCCGAAGTACAAACTTCATCAAAAAGACCGAATCGGTGACGAATCTGAAACAAAAGTAAACATTTCAAATCATCAAGACTTTAGCTAAAGTGTCGTCAGCCGATGCATTATGATTACATGACTGTTAAAGAACTTTAGGTATATTAGGTTTAGAGTTGCAAACTTTAACTTTTAACTTTTTTTTAAATATAGTATTTTTCAGCGCTCACCTATAAGAAAGAAAGTAGATTGCATCTGCAATGTGATCTATAGTTTTGTTGCTTTGAGCCTCTATTTACAATCGCACGCTCTAGTTAGCCTTTATAAAAATATAGTAGTTTCGCCTTCTTATAAAATTATAGTTTTCAGACCACTAATATAGAAGGACACTACATTATACAGGGCTATTTAGCAAGGACGAGCCTTTGCAGAAAAGGTTCAGAATAACTTCATATATATTCAGAATAAGTAGGTAATAATAGATTTCGAATAATAATAATAATAATAGATATTCAAAATAATATAGGCAAATAGTGAAGAAAACTTAATTAAAAAATCTCAATCGTTTTGTCCTTTTTATCTTTGAAATTCAAAATGCGTGGTAATGCATTGTTTTACCTGCTTTTACTGCACACGGACACATTCAATAATAGTAAGGGTTGACCGTTAGGCAAAAACGTTGTAGCGCACAAAGATCTGTGTGATTTATGGGCTACCAAAGCCCATAAATCACATACAATTTGGGACACTTTCAAATAAATTTAAAAACCTTATTTACTCGTATTTTCAAAAACTGCAATAACGGTATCATTAATTATATATTTGAATTTAAGTTTAAAATTTGGCTACTCTTTGAAAAATAACCCTGCATAGTAAGAGTTGGCAACCTTAATTACGTTTTTTATATTATGTCACGTATGAATGAAAAGCGTCAATTAGGCGACAGTGAGCTGTATAAAAAAACAAACATTGAGTAGGTCTTGTGATGATGTGACTACAAACCCGCCTGCCAAGCATAGGGATTATAGCAAGCCCTTCCTACAACGAGAGAGGCTAAGTTCAGCGGTGGACTTCCAAGGGCTAATGAAAAGAATGAAAGAATGACCGAACAATTTAGTGTACGTCTATATAAATTATTACTCTCTCGATCGTCATTCATCGTTCGTTATAACTCAAATTCCACTGTTGAATATGGGCCTACCTCAGATATTGCCTTATAAGAGGGATATTTGCCAGGGCAGCGTTTTGTTAAGAACAACTTGGAAATAAAAGCTGTGGTTTACCATGCATTGCGACTATGGCAAAATACCGAGTATGAAGCAGTTTATGGAGGAGGCCTATGTTCAGCAGTGGACTTTTATAGGCTGTAATGATAATTAGATAGATATTCTTACACCACCACTACACTACGGTAATTAATTTTTAGTAAAACGACTTTGATAAAACTAATTTTAAAATTGCTTAAACTGAACATAAAACTGTTCAAAGTTTTTATTGTTTTACTAGCTGTGTCCCGCGACTTCGCCCGCGTGGAATTTACTACATTTCATGGATATCAATTTTTTTTGCGCGGAAACCAAATTTTGTTTTTGAGTAATGTTACCATCTTATAAATATTGACAAATATTGACATTAATATTTATACGATAATAACGTCACTCAATTCTTTTGCCTTTCCGGAACCCCTCCACTAACACTTAAACTTTATGGTATGGTATTAAAGTTCAAATTGACTTTTAAGTATTATTACGAATCTTTTGTATGGGAATATAGAAAAGTGTTGGTTTTAGACTTTTTCAGGCAATTTTTTAAACTTTTCTCTACGTAAGAACCATCTTCGTAATTCAAGCAATATTATAAAAAAATAATTAGCGAAATCAGTTTAGCTGCTCTCGAGATTTGCGCTTAGCAACACATTCAGCGATTCATTTTTATATTATAGATAATGGACAAAATATTTACTTCGTTTATCTTAAATAACTTTTATGTATGATTGTCATACACCCTTTAAATGTTGAATGCAAGTTAAGTAATGTTAATAGAATGTACATTTAGTTGTTTTTGGCTATCTATTTTAGTCTGTTAATGGGAGGGGGGGGGGGACTTCCTTAAGATGAGCTTTGCTTCAGATGACTAAACAAGTTCGTTTTATGTTTAGCCAGTAAAGTTATAGCCTCTAATGGAAATTTAAATAAACAATTATAATTATTGCTTTTCAGTAAATAAAAACTTTTATTGCTTTTCAAATCACTGCTTTAATCAATGAAGAATCAGCTAAAGATTTCCGCAATATAAATTCATATATATAAACATTATATAGATACTTAAATGGCCTTTTAATCTTAATACGTTCTAGAGTATAATTTCGATCCATAAACATTTAATTTCCAAGGTTTCTTATCTTAAAACATTGAGATATTCCTTGAATAATGGTTCGTATCAAACGCGCCGCAGGTGGAAATTATGTGAATGTATTTATAATCTCATAATCAATAAGATTTTCATTTAATATCAGCTCGGGTTATAAGCAATAGAGACTGAGTGCAATACGCATAACTGCGCAGTGATAACGTGTATAAATTGTCTGAATTTCTCTAATAGCTGTTCACATAGATTATTATTACGTAGAACCGTCAGCAACTTGTGGATTTGATATTATGCCTAAGAGTGTTAAAAGTAGTAGTTTCTTTTTTAAATGATTTTATTACAATATAATTATTTTCATACATTAAATGTTTAAGGTAATTAATAAGCATTTGTTATTTTTTCTATCAATCTTTACATTTTTTTTTCACTTATTATAAGTCAGTCCTGAACCACAATCTCACCTGGTGTTGAAGCATTATTTGGTAAATCGCACTGTCTTAGCGTAACAATAAGATGACCAGATTGTATTATATATTATAGATTATATTTTAGACGGACGGAAAGACAGACCTGAGCCTGCAAATTATTCCATTCCCTTGCTGTACACATTACGAAAGACGAAGTAAATCGTTTGGTTCGAATACGTGGAATATGTCGATATGAAGTGGTGAAAACCCGCCGACTGCCTTGATGTCCGAAGGTGAAAAGGAGAGATAGGAATTAAAGCACATGCTTTATTTCCTATCTCTCCTTGTGCACAGAAATTACATAATTTCTGCGCACGTGCTCCGAAATGCATCTTATAGAATACCGCGAGGCTTGATACTCTGCACCTGTGCTGGAGGCTGACAAGATTGGTTGGTTAGCCATTAGTTATAACGGTTAGGTAGTTTGTGAGGTTACCTTATGTTAAGAGTGTAAATCGTTTGCTTTTATTTATCAACCCGTTTAAATACACTGCTAGGCGTGTGCTTTCTCTATTAAAAGGAGGATTTGTCTTAACCGCCACGTTTGGCAATTAGATCAGCGATCGCTCTCCTGGACCTCTTGCACATTTGACGCTGCTACCCGTAGCCGGTCTGGGTGAACTCATCTAACATAAAAGAGATTATCATACCACCATCAAACCCATTAAATCATTTTGGCCTATTTTTCATAATCGGATGAATTCTCTTACGTTGCCCTTACATGGCAATCTTAATCTATAATAATTGTAGAAATTATAATAACGTGCACAGATTATTATTTATTATGAATAACATAGTTTTACAGATTTTTAACAAAGTTCACGTCTTTGTAGTACGATTTGATTGATGAACAGAATTTATATCTTATATGTAAAATTGTTTTAAATTAAAAAAAATATTGTGTGAAAAAAAATCGCAAAAATATTTTTTTCTTTTAATTTGGACTTGGGGTGAACCCAAATATGTTAGCAGACTGCAGACTCATCGTTAAGGCGAAAGTCACACCGTAATATCAAAATTTACATAGATTTTTCACTACTATAATAAGTTAGTCTATGACAAAGTCAGCTTTTAACTAACCGCCGGTGCGATGGTATACGCAATGACGTGAAAATTACAACAAATAACGCGAGCGAATCAAATGTGCGGCGAGTCGTAAGATCCAAGCCCGATGCAATTAATTGGTGAGATACAGTGCCGAAGTATGCGGCCGAGTCAAATCTTTATTGGCTACCCGCTTTTTAATGAAAGCTTTACGTTACTTTTAGTGAAATTTGTTGGAAATAAACGGTGTAACAATTTAGAAAGCAAACCGTCGAAATAGCCCTTGCTCATATGATTTGAATATTAATAATGAATCTTATGAATACAAGAGTTTTATTATTTTACTTTTTAATAAATAACTGAGGTTAATCTTCAGTTATCTGCTGCTGGATGTGAAATTCGCATCGCTCGCTAACAGGCATATAGTCGATTACAGTATCAGATATGTGATACCATTTTTAGCACCGACTGGTATTCGAACCAATGTTACGCGTCTCAGTATTATTTATTAATTTTATTTATCATTAATTTCATACATAACATTTATTAATTAAAGATCACATTATAGTAAAATCATAAGTTTATAGGAACTTTACTATGTACCGGTATCGCTGACAATAACAAAATGAGAGTAGTAGTCTGGTATTCTGACATCTAAGCCACGTTATCATCATACAATGGTAATTTTACAACACTTCAAATAAATAACACCATTATAAAGCAAATTGAAATGATAAAATATTATAGATTCAATAAAAAATACTTTTCACCAACGATACGCTATAATTAAATGTAATCTGATTTACAAACTTCATCAGATCACGGTTATTCGATAAACATTCAATTGAACATTCGTTATACGTGAGCATCACCATTTATAGCTTCCAAATATGTTAAAACATAATAAAAATGCAAATTTGATTGTATACTAATATTGTACGCGTGCTCCTCACTCAGAACTTACGACTATCTTTCCGTTTAAGTGATGGCACCGCACCTGCATTTATTTTATTGAGTTATTTTCTTGGGTTTTAATTGATAGTGCTTATTTTAATTAATTCGGTTAACTATAAATCACAGAAAATGGTCGAATTTAAAAACAGATGTTGTATTATTTAAAAACGGATAGTAACAAATTTATGTATTTCTTAAATATTATTAGGAAACTCGAAGCGAAAGGATCTCGA